AAACTACCGTTGCGGCACAACAATTGCCATTATCTTCTACTCTACAAACTACCGTTGCGGCACAACAGTTGCCATTATCTTCTACTCTACAAACTACCGTTGCGGCACAACAGTTGCCATTATCTTCCACTTTACAAACTAACGCTGTTCTACAGCGATTGCCATTATCTTCTGTTCTGCAAGCAAACGTAACGCCACAGCAGTTGCTACCACCTTCTAATCCGCAGACGAAAGTTGCGGCACAACGGTTGCTACTGCCTTCTAATTTGCTGCATGCAAAAACTACAACACAGTCGCCGTCATTACCTTGCACAAAGTCTTTACAAGCAATTAATGAATTTCAGCAAAATTTATTATACCTTCGCAAAATTCGATTGTTGCAAGATCAAGCAACACATTATGCTAGATTAGCACAAGATGCTTGGGAAGAGGCTAGAGCGATCGCTTCTTCTTTGGATATACCACCACCATCACTGCCGGACGCAATAGATTTCATGACACATAATTATTTGAAATACCGAAAAGAGTGGAATTTATCGAAAAAAGCTGAAGAACAAGAGAACATTAAACCGTGCTTATCACAAATTGTTGACCTGGAAAATTCCGTATCGTCACATGCCATTGTATCACTATCATCCGGTATCCAGTCCACTTTCGAACGGAGAAAGTCTAATTCTGTACTGGATCCAAGTTCCAACAAATTCCATGCTAAAATGTATCGGACGAATGTGTCTATGATGAATGTAGGCACAAGAATGGTGAGGAAAAATTTTATTTAATAACTTAATAAGTAATTGAAAGGATTAAGTTGAGAAATATTTCGATTGCTGCAAGTTTCTCTTTGTGGTTCGTTTTAAGCTCAAATGTTATGATGGAAGAGAAATTGAAATTAGCTAAGGTTTTCCCTCGATTTCTTATCAACTTTTTGTTGACATCTGCTAAGCTTTTTTGTTATCACAATTTTAAGCATAACTTAGCATAAATTTTGAATAAATTTATCATGTAATTTGCAATAATTTTCAGAACCAATGATAATTCGAATCTACAAACTAAAATAATAATGATCGAATTAAAATGATAATGGTTATTTTAGTTTTGAATTCATTTCTAGAAATGATGTCGTTGTAATTGATGATTATTGGACATATTTTCGTTTCAGATCGATCAACAGTTGTCAACGACACCGTTGCGACAGCAACCAAGTCAGCTTAGTTAACCTTTTTTTTTGAATACTTATTTATGAGGTAATGATAGTGAAGAAACGTAGAAGTCACTCTTTGAAGTTAATTATTTGAAGGGAAAAAAGATAATTATGTGAAAATCAAAAGAAGAAGCAATTAGTTCAACAAAGTATCTGATTGAAAGAGTAAAGAAGAACAGGAAGAAAGAGAAATGAAGAGAAGGAAAGAGAGAAAGAAAGAGAGAGAGAGGGAGAGAAAGAAATAGTAACCAATGATTTAGACGCAAATTTCCAAAAAATTGTGACATTTTCGAAATGAAATGGACAATTTTCCTATTTACTCATTCAAATGATAAATTCCAGGTATCTTGCCATTTCAGGTAATAATGTAGAAGAAGTTGTGTCACATCAATCGCAAAGATTTCAAAGAACTAATGAAATGATAAGTGTAGATTTATCAGATATCAGGAGCAATTACAGTTTACAGCGCATGCATCGACGGTTAAGTACTTCGTTTGGAAACGGAAGATGCATAAAACGAAGTAGGACAATCAATTGAAATTTTCTGTCTTCAGTAAATCAGACAGGATTTTCCTTGTACAAAATTTTAATTTTAATTAAGTCAAGAATGCATTGCCATGCATTAAATTACTATTTAAAATCAGAATCCGATAATTTATAATCCGAATAATTTGAATCGTAATTTCTGAAAAAATTGATCTTATCGAGTAGTAAATGTGTAACATTGTGAAATATTAGGTGATAAATATAGCGATATTGATTTTTTGTTTCGTAATATTGATTTTATTTTAATATTAATATTATCACTATCTTTTTTTTTTTAAAGTGATTATTGACTTTTTAGTATAAAGGGAAATAAAAAGTAGAAGAATTGATCAGCATGAGAAGGATAAGAATAGAATGAAAATTAAAAAAAGGATTAATCCCGAAAAAGTAAGCACTGCAGTTATTTCTCCACCAAAATTAATTATTATATATCAATTGAGTTTGATGAAACATTCCCTATCATATCTAATTGACATTTCATCCTATCTTCTCAATCAATTAGTGCTTTTTTGTATGTTTTATTGATTCCTTTTTATTGTCCTGTCACAGATCAAAAGTCAACAATATTTGAAAGTACATGTTTTGTTGCACTATCATATTGATTTATTTCATTATTCATCTGCTAAAACATCAATTTCAATTCTTATTAATATATTCATATGTTTCAAGATGATTTGATAATTAAAACAATCAATCTTATTTAGAATGATTGGAAATTTCTTAAATTTTTGCCGAAAATTTTTTGCATAATTAATATGAAGCATATTAATTGCTTAATCAATCAAGTAATTTACTTTTGCAAATCAAAATGAAAATGCATGCAGACATTCATGCACCTGCATGCATTCAGATGCAATTTTTAGAAGCATTTTGTAACAAACACAATTCATTTCCAACTTCACGAAAAAGATTCACTCCAATTTCATTCATTTATTCACCAACTTTTTTCAATGTGCTAATGTTTCAAATAATTTTAAACTTTAATTTTTAGCCAAAAAATTGTCTTAACTGATCCCTTAGTGAACAATGGGAACTCTCAAAGCAAATATAATTGTAAAGGTAATTAGTAAATTTGATTCAGAAGATTGCTGACTTATTTTTCAGTGATGACAATAAAAAGCGTGTGATAATGACATTTTGATTGACAACCATTTGTTGACATAGTTGCCGACGATTACTTTGTTGAGATAATGGATTCTCTGATTCTGTGAATACCTTTTCTTTTTTTTGAATCCAAAAAGTTGAAATGCTTGAAGGGATGACGAAAAGAAGATTTCTTCAACGATGAAATGCAAAATAAAAAGCAAAAAGTTTATTGTAAACAAAGGGAAAAAGCGAAAGAAATAAAGAAGAAATTATGAGAAGCACGAAAAAAGTTGAATAATTTTTTTAAACGAAAATATGATATATATACCCATTATATTGCACCTGCAAATTATTGAAATATTTTTTTGCGCCTCTTTTTGAAATTATATTTCCAAAAATATTTTCTGCAAAGTTCCAAAGACGTATTCTTTATCATCCGTTAAACTGTTTGGCTTAAATCCTGCTCTATTCTTTTATTTGAGTGGTTAATGTTCCAAATTCTGAAAAAGATATTTTCTGTAGCTATTTAGATCTTAGAATTTCTTATACCATAAGTTAGAGAGCATTTTAATTTCCTTCAAACATTTTTATTAATTAAGAAATTGTATTCCTCATTAAAATGGAATAATTAGACAGATTTTGTATTGATCATTATCATAGTCAGAAATTAGAAAAAATTGATCATATGAGAATAGAGAAATTAATGATAAGAGAAATCAGTGATTAAATAATTGAGATAGAAGGAAGTACTTAATGCACTACTAAGATTTCAAAAAACTATATCTTGCATAAGCAGTTCCTGAGAAATAGTAAATGATCATCCTTTATTATTCTAATTGTACAATCACCCTTTGTTACTTTACTTTTTACGATTACCCATCATTACTCTAATTATCCTAAGATCATTTTAATGAGAATGCATTGTTCCAGACATATTAGCAAGTAAACACTATGAATTACTTGTTACGATAATAATTGGTATTTGTTATTTCGGATGGTCTTTGATCGTTTTTCTTTTTGATTGTTTTAATAATTTTTTCCAAACTAATGTAACAATGGATTCATTAGTAATAAATTGCCCAAGATATTTTTCAAGCATACAAAAGAAATTAATTATTTCATTATCCTTTGAACTAAAAGATAATTTTCGAAATTATCATTTGTTTAAAAAGAATATTCATTGATAAGTAAATATTGAAATATTTACCTGTATTTATTGCTTTATATTTACAGAATTCGGATCCATTCCCATTTTAAGACATTTCTTCAAGCGACAGCTTTGACATTTATTTCTACCTTCTACCGTTACTATACAATTACCATCCCTAGAGCATTCGTACTCCGCTTTCTTCTGTATGCTTCGTCGAAAGAAACTCTGAATTTATCAGTTATAGCAGGTGAGAAATATTAGAATTTTAATGCTTGAAATATCATCTAATAACTTTTTGGCGATGAGGATTGGCTACTCGCTCGTTAATACAAATCATCCGTAGCAATTCACTCCAATATCATTTCATCATTTGATATTTGATATAATAACGAACGGTTTTGATGAAAATTTATCGGTTGATAATTTGAAAGCATTAATCATTAATCAATTAATTTAATTTAATTTAAAATTAACGCTTACAGATGGCATGAATGCTGTAGTAGGATTTTACAGAGGATTAAATAATACCATACGGAACAAATTCAGATACATTTTGACAAATTTTTTTTTTGATTATTCTGCTGGTCCATTCCAAGCACCTTATAATAATCATTCAAGTTTTATCATTTTTTTTATTTTCCCAAATGTTATATTTATTACTTTCAAACATCATACCTTACATCCTTCACATGTTAAAGCTTTGTAGTGATAACCGGATGCATTATCACCACAAACAACGCAAAAATCTTTCGTTTTTCGTTTCATTTCTCTGGTAAATCCTCCAGTTACTGCTCCTATAAGTACATGTATCACTATCATATCATACCTATTAATTAAGTTTTCCTTTCAATTGCTTAACAAAAATTTTTGTTAACCTTATTATCTCCTTGAAAAAATAATGGTCAAATTTTGAGTTTGAAACGATCTTTTTCATCCAAATGATCAACATTTATCATTTATCGTCTCAATGGTCGTCTTTTTTTCTGCTCCCGTTCCAAATTTCTCGTAACAGCAATCAAAGGTTAAGAAAAAACTAACTTTCTGGTAATGCTTTGTTTTGAAGCCCATTGTTGTGTAACTGAAATACGTTTGCTTGTCCTTCATTCCGTGTCACCGGAATTTGATTCCATTCATCCATTGAATTATTTGCGCTCATTGGATTGCCAAAATCCAGTGGCAATTGTTGCTCTTCAAAACCGGTTGATGTGATATACACTGTTGTATTTCCGCCATTCTGTTCTTCACCTGTACTGTATACCTTATTTTCGTCGCATCTTGGTACACTGTAGTGGCTCCCTGAAGTTTCATTACCAAATGCAACGCATAAATTGTTTTCTTGATTTGAATCGATCGAAGGATTTCTGTCCTTTTCCGGATGTATCTGCTTCATATGCAATGATGGAGTAAGCCGTGATGTACCGGGTGAAATGTAATATCTTCCAACCGTTGAATCATCTCTATTCGTCCGGATCTCAGAATTCAAAATTGTCTGCCGTGATGATTGTTGTTCTTGAAATCCAGCTGATGTGACATACACTCTTATATTGTTTGTAGTAGCAAAATGATTAGGACTTGAATACGGTGGAGCAAATGTTTTCAATTCTTCAAATACTTTTCCACCGTCCTCTTCATTGATTTCCTGAAATATTTCTTTTATTAAATGCTTCCGGAAGAAGTTATTGTGTCATTGTTCTATAAATGCTTTTGTAAAGTTAAATTAGATTTATATTCACGTAAAGATA